GAAAAGAAAGAAAAGAAAGAAAAGAAAGAAAAGAAAGAAAAGAAAGAAAAGAAAGAAAAGAAAGAAAAGAAAAGAAAAGAAAGAAAAGAAAGAAAGAAGGAGGGAGGGAGGAAGGAAGGAAAGAAGGAAGGAAGGAGATGGAGAAGGAAGAAGGAAGGAAGGAAAAAATAAAAAAGAAAGAAAGAAAAGAAAGGAGGGAGGAAGTAAGAAAGGAAGAAGGAAGGAAGGAGAGAGAGATGGGAAAGGAAGAAGGAAGGAAGGAAAGAAGAGAGAGAAAAGAAAGAAAAAGAAAGAAAGGAAAGAGGGGGGGAAGGAGGGAGGAAGGAGAAAGAAAGAGGGAGCGATTGATTGATTGATTTTTAAGAGATGAACCCATTAAACTTTGGAGTCTGAAATGGTAAAAATTTTCCTGCCTAAGCAGGGGGTTGGACTAGAAGACCTCCAAGGTCCCTTCCAAATATGTTCTTTTGTACACTGTAAGTGACCTGTTCATCTTTTACACTCGGGTCAAACTGAAATTCTCGGATGGCCCCAAGTTATTAGAACATAGACTCCCAGGGATGGAAGGGACCTTGGAGGTCTTCTAGTCCAACCCCCTTGCTCAAGGCAGGAGACCTTATCTGCTATCCCAACAAGATATCTTAAAGGCCTTCAATAAATGGAGGGTGTGTGTGTTGGGGGCTCACCTATGAAACAGGTGGACTCATCAGTTTCACCCCCGTAGGCCACCTTCTGTCCTTCCAAAAGGCCCGTCAGTCTCTTGAAATGACGCTTGTTCACGATCCGCTCGTAATCCGGGGAGTCCTTAACGTTCTCGCCATAAAATTCCTGCGAGGGAATCAACATGGATGGGTTGCTTTATGTAACCAGGATTGGAGTCCTTGAGTTATGACCACAATGGAGATTAGAAGTTCCATCACTAAGAGAGATGGGAGGGAGGGAAAGGAGGGAGGGAGGGAGGGAAGGAAGGAAGAACGAACGAACAACAGAAAGAAGAAGGGAAAGCAAGGAAGAGAAAGAATTTAAATAGAATAGAAAGGGAGGGAGGAAGCAAGGAAGAAGAGAGAGGGAAGGAGATAGGGAGGGAAAGAGGGAGGAGGAAGAGAGGGAAGAAGGAAGGAAAGAAGGGAGGGAGGGAGGAAGAAGACAGAGGGAAGGAGATAGGGAGGAAGGAAGAGAGAGAGAGGGAGGGAGATAGGGAGGGAGGGAGGAAAGAGGGAGGGGGAAGAGAGGGAGGAAGGAAGAAGGAAGGGAGGAAGGGGGGAGGAAGGAAAGAAGGAGGGGGAAGAGAGGGAAGAAGGAAGGAAAGAAGGAAGGGAGGGAGGAAGGAAGAAGATAGAGAGAAGGAGATAGGGAGGGAGAGGGAAGGAGGGAGATAGGGACGGAGGGAGGAAGGAAAGAGGGAGGGAGAAGAGAGTGAAGGAAGGAAAGAAGGAAGGGAAGGAGGAAGGAAAGAGGGAGGGGGAAGAGAGAGAAGAAGGAAGGAAAGAAGGGAGGGAGGAAGGAAGGAAGAAGAGAGAAGGAGATAGGGAGGAAGGGAGAGGGAAGGAAGGAGATAGGGAGGGAGGAAGGGAGGAAGGAAAGAGGAAGGGGAAGAGAGGGAAGAAGGAAAGAAAGAAGGAAGAGACGGAGGGAGGGAGGAGAAAAGGATAGGGGGGGAAAGGAGACCGATTTTTCCAACCTGATTTCCTTCAGTATAAAAGGGAAAAAAGAGAAATTTTGAATTTCCTGTATTGATTCGGTTATTTTGCCCTGGAGTTCCCGTGGGATTTGTCTCATGCCTGGCCTACCTCGAAGGCTTGGAGTTAGGGATTTACGTCCTTCCCCTGCGGTTACAACCCAGGGAAGCTTTTGCTAAACCAGTGCAAAAGATAAGCAACTTCCATTTTATTATAACCCCAAATCTTTGTGTTGCTGCTGGCAACAGAAGTTGCTTTGCTGCTAATCCCGGCCGAGGAAAAAGGTTTCCTCTGGAGTTTTGGTCAAGGACAAACGCACGTTTCTCTGTTTTTGAAGATTCAATTGGCATTTGCCCAGAAACTCCCAAGTTCTGATGCCGTCAAGACAGTGAGGAAATCTAATTCCCCTACCCACCCACCCTGCCGGTTCTGTGGGCGTGGCTTGGTGGGCGGGTGGGTGGTCTTGTGACTGGGTGGGCGTGGCCAATTTGTTTTCACTCTCTAAAGCATTTTTTTCCTGCCTCTTTGCCCAAACCGGCAGGAAAAAAATGCTTTAAAAAGTGGGGAAACAACCTTCCGAGGATGGCGTGACTCACAGCTGAGCTGCGCGATCCTCAGTTTGCAGAACAAATGACAATCGTCCCTACCGGTTTGGCTGAACCAGGCCGAACCAGGAGGATTTCACGCCTGTGTCAAGACCTGGTTTTGCCCCCCAAGTGGCCTTTCCACAACTCAGAAGACCCCCGGCCCAGTTCTTACCTTGAGTTTTTGTTTCATGATCTCCACGACGGTCTTCTGAATGGATGGGCTGCATAGGATGTAATCCGGGGCGATGCAGGTCTGGCCACAATTCATGTATTTCCCCCACGCAATCCGCCTGCAGGAGGAAAGGATCCCAGAATGTTAAGCCTAGGAAAGGGGCTCATTTCTATCCTGATTCCCACTTCTATTCTACTCTATTGTGATTTCCTGTTCTGTTCCAGCCTATTCTTATTTCTATTCTATTCTCATTCTATTCTCATTTCTATTTTATTCTTATTTCTTATTCTATTTTATTCTTATTTCTATTCTATTTTATTCTTATTTCTTATTCTATTCTACTTTTATTTCTATTCTATTCTTATTTCTATTCTATTCTACTCTATTCTCATTTCTATTTTATTCTTATTTCTTATTCTATTTTATTCTTATTTCTATTCTATTTTATTCTTATTTCTTATTCTATTCTACTTTTATTTCTATTCTATTCTCATTTCTATTCTATTCTATTCTTATTTCTTATTCTATTCTACTTTTATTTCTATTCTATTCTCATTTCTATTCTATTCTATTCTATTCTTATTTCTATTCTATTTTATTCTTATTTCTTATTCTATTCTCATTTCTTATTCGATTCTTATTTCTATTCTATTTTATTCTTATTTCTTATTCTATTCTACTTTTATTTCTATTCTATTCTCATTTCTATTCTATTCTATTCTTATTTCTATTCTATTCTCATTTCTTATTCTATTCTATTCTTATTTCTATTCTATTCTTATTTCTTATTCTATTCTCATTTCTATTCTATTCTCATTTCTTATTCTATTCTATTCTTATTTCTATTCTATTCTTATTTCTTATTC